GTCTTCGAGTCGACATATAATTAAGCCTATACATAAATAATCAACAGTGGAGTTAAGAGACTTTTTGATGTTGAACATATAGTTTGTAAAGAACAAATTAACAAGAAGTTGCTTCTCTTATTAATTCACTTGAAAAAATCCCTCAAAACTCAAGCTCTCTAAAACAAACTTTCAAATCCCTCAAGGTTGCAACAAACCTGCAACTCTATATATATAGGTTTTATCAATAACCTAAACTCGTTATTAAAAGCTTTGGATAACTCCTAATCTCTTTAAAACAAATCAAAACAAACTAAGATTAGGATAACTTGCAACCAAGTTATTTCAAGCTTATCCAACATTCTCTCCCTTAAGTTTGAAATCTTCTTGTGACAAATCTTTGACTCCAATCAAACTCCTCATTTCTTTGAACCGAATCTTCCCAAGACCTTTGGTTAGTATATCTGCTCTTTGCTCACTCCCTGCAATGTGTTGAACTTCAATGAGACTTTTATCCACACATTCTCTTATGAAGTGGTACCGGCGATGAATGTGTTTAGATCGACCATGAAACACATGATTCTTCGACAAAGCTATAGCTGACTTATTATCAATTAGTAGCACCATCTTTTCATACTCCTTTCCCATGATCTCTCCGAGCAAGTCTTGAAGCCAAATATCCTGTTTAGCTACCTCTGTTGCAGCCATAAAATTTGCCTCACAAGAGGATAAAGCAACCGTGTCTTGCTTCTGTGAACACCATGTTATAGGTGAGTCAAGGAAGTAGAATACATGTCCGGTTGTGCTTCGTCCGTCATCTTCGTCTACATTGTGACTTGCATCGCTGTACCCAATAAGCCTTGTATCCTGAGCTCGTCTGAACACTAGACCATGACTAAGAGTTCCTCGCAAGTAACGCAAGACTTGTTTCATAGCAGCAGCATGAGATGTCTTCGGATCCTGCATATATCGACTCATCACACCAACAGAGAAAGACAAATCTGGTCGAGTATGCAGCAGATATCTTAAGCAGCCAATACATCTCCTATACTCTTTCTCGTCAACGCTTTGTTGATCTTTGGCCTTAGATAACTTCAAGTTTTGGTCCATAGGTACATGAACTGCATTGCATTCGAACATCCCTGCTTCTTCTAAGATCTTCTTGGCATATCTCTCTTGACTTAAGTTGATTCCCTCACCATGTTGATAAGCTTCAATGCCTAAATAATATGTTAACCTTCCCAAGTCACTCATCTCGAATTTCTCAGACAATTCCTCTTAAACTCTGCAATCTTCTTGATATTAGTACCAGTGATCAAGAGATCATCAACATACACTGCTAGAAGAAGCAAGTGATCTCTGTCTTCTCGGCGATACACTGCAGGTTCCTTAGAGCATTTGGTAAACTTCAGTTCTCCAAGTACCTTGTTTAACTTCTCATTCCATGCTCTTGGAGCTTGACGTAAGCCGTATAGAGCCTTTCTCAGTTTGTACACTTTTCTCTCTTGTCCTGATACAACAAATCCTTCCGGTTGGCAAACGTACACATCCTCCTTCAGGTCACCATGTAAGAATGCGGTTTTAACATCTAAGTGATGTACTTGCCATCCTTTTGATGCTGCCAAAGCTAGTAGAAGTCTCACGGTTTCTATTCTAGCTACAAGTGCGAATACTTCCTCAAAGTCAATCCCATGTCTCTGAATGTAGCCTTTAGCAACTAACCGGGCTTTAAATTTGTTGATACTGCCATCTGCATTTCGTTTCACTTTAAAGATCCACTTGAGGCCAATGGCTTTTGCCCCAACTGGAAGCTCAACAAGGTCCCATGTTCTGTTCTTGATGATCGATTTGAGTTCATCTTCACAGGCGTCTCTCCATACCTTTTCTTTCTTAGCTTCAGCATAACTCCACGGTTCATCATTCAAACTCAGTAGTAACCTTTCTCCCTCCAATTCTATCATCAAGATGTAATCATCAAGGTACCCTGGCATCTTTCTTTCTCTTTGTGATCTTCGTAACTCTGGTTCAGAGGATTCGTTAGTATCACTTTCTTCACTTTCTCCTTCTTGAATGGTTTCAAATTGATCTTTTGCTCTTTCTTCTTCAGATACAGTGATGCTAGTGGGGTCAGGGTTGATACCATGATTCCCAAACTGACTGATATCAATACGCAGTACACCAGATTCTTTGCTCTTATCACAAGTGTTCCAGTCCCAACTCTTATTCTCATCAAATATGACATATCTGCTAACCAGCACTCTTCTTTTCTTGGGATCATATAGTCGGTACGCTTTTGATTCTGGTTATGTCCCAAGATGTACTAGCATACGAGACCTGTCATCTAACTTCTTGAGATGGTGAGATTCAACCTTTGCATATCCAATGCACCCAAAAATCCGTAGATGTTCAATGCTTGGTTTCTTTCCTTTGTAAAGCTCATATGGTGTCTTGCCTTTTATGACTCGAGTAGCATCTCTGTTTATGATGTATGTGGCATGTCTAACCGCTTCTCCCAACAGAAAGTTTGGTAGTTGCATGTGTTTAAGCAGACTTCTGGTCATGTCAAGGAGGGTACGGTTACGCCTCTCTACCACTCCATTCTGTTGAGGACTGTAAGGAGCTGTTAAATGTCTTGTGATTCCATTTGATTCACAAAACTTTGTGAATTCATTCGACACAAACTCGCCTCCTCTATATGTTCTGAATGTCTTGATGGATACCCCTGTTTCTCTTTCTGCAATAGCTTTGAAGGCTTTGAATTTCTCGAAGGCTTCACTTTTCTCTGCAAGAAGTATTGTCCACATATACCGAGTATAGTCATCAATAAGAACAAAGATGTACCGTCTTTTGGAGGGTGTGGCTGGTGTTATTGGTCCACAAAGGTCTCCATGTATCAAACCAAGTATGTTCTCAGCTCGGTATGTGGTAGATTGAGGAAAGGTATGTCTAGCTTGCTTTCCAAGTATGCAGGAAGGACACTGAATATTTTCAATTTTGAAATCTGTTAAGCCTTGTACGAGTCCCTTGCTTGCCATTAATCTCATGGCTTCTCTCCCAATATGACCCAATCTTGCATGCCACTTTGTGAACTCACTCATAACTGTAAGTTGCAGACACCTTTCACTGTTGTCAATACTAACTTTATACAGTCGATTCTTGGAACGCTTTGCAGTGATGATCATCTTTCCATCCTTGTCTTTCAGGGTAAGGTAGTCACCTTTCATTTTGATGTCACATCCTGCTTCTGTAGCTTGTCCTAGACTGATTATATTGCTTCTTAGGTCTGGTATATAGTAGACATCAGTAAGTATTTTCTTTCCTCCATCTTTCAAACAGAACAAGATTGGACCTTTTCCTTTTATGTCGACTCTTGAACCATCACCAAATCTAACTTTTCATGTAATAGTCTCATCTATGGACTTGAAATACCTACGGTTTCCAGTCATATGATTACTTGCCCCATTGTCCAAGTACCAAACCCTATCATTGTCTGAACCAGCTATAAAATCATGTGGGTTTACGTTTCTTTCGTTGAGGTAGACTACTTCGTGCATCATAAGTTCCTCTGCTTATGTGGTATATGTATCTCTTTCCCTTGCTTCCCTTGTTTCTATCACCTCTTGTAGTTTAAGAAGGCGATCAGGGCAAACAGACGCGAAGTGTCCTAACTTGTCACACCGAAAGCACATGATCTTTGTCATATCGAATGGTTCTTGGTAATACCGATCAGTGTATCTTCCTCTACCTCTTCCTCTGTAGTTGTTGTGTCCACCACGTCCTCGTCCTCTATAGTTGCTGCTGTAGTCACGGTTTGTGAATGGTTGCTGAGTTGTTGTTTGTTGAGTTGGAGTTTCTTTGTTAGCGTACATAAGTTTGCTTTGAGTCTCCTCTTCTTCTTCATCCTTAATTCGTTCCTCATACGCTTTGAATATCCCAACAATGCTCTCAAAACTTGCTGTTTTAAGATCTACAAATTGTTCTACTGTTGCAACCATCTGAATGTATTTCTTTCGTGGGAGGCAAGCTAAGAACTTCTTTATGAGCTTGGGTTCTTCAATAGTTTCTCCTAAAGCAGCTGCCATTGATGAAAGCTCGGTTAGTTTACTAGCAAGTTTATCAACCGTATCATCGTCTTTCATCTTTAGTCTCTCAAGATCTGATGCAAGAGTTTGCAACCTTGCTTCTCTTACTAGATCAGCTCCTAGATATCGCTCCTTGATTGCATCCCAAACTTTCTTTGCTGTGTCCAGATTTCCTAGTTGCAGAATTAGTGACTCAGGTAGTGACTGGAATATTAGGGCCGTAGCTAGGTCATTCTTTTCATCATCTGTTGATTCTGTTTCCACCAGATCCCATACCTTGTTGATCTTCAATACAAGTCTGATTCTGATAGTCCATACTGCGTAGTTTGTTTCAGTAAGAACCGGACAACTTATCTTGGAGGAGCTTCCTCCTTCTTTTGCTTTGGCGACAACAATATCTCCCATGATTCTTGTATGATCGTTTCACAAAGCTCTGATACCAAAAATAGTTTGTAAAGAACAAATTAACGAGAAGTTGCTTCTCTTATTAATTCACTTGAGAAAATCCCTCAAAACTCAAGCTCTCTAAAACAAACTCTCAAATCCCTCAAGGTTTGCAACAAACCTGCAACTCTATATATATAGGTTTTATCAATAACCTAAACTCGTTATTAAAAGCTTTGGATAACTCCTAATCTCTTTAAAACAAATCAAAATAAACTAAGATTAGGATAACTTGCAAACCAAGTTATTTCAAGCTTATCCAACAGAACATACGGACATAAACGTTCACAATGTTACTTCCACGGATATAAATGATGCCTAGATATCTCTAATAACTGTGATGTAATCTTTAGGTTATCCATTCAATATTTGACATGCCTTCTTTCAAAAAAATATGAAAAGTTGATAGACGGTCTAGGGGAAGCATACAGATAAAGAGTTTAACAATAATGAACAAGCAAGTTGGAGACAATAGCCATGTAACTTGTGATTCTATTTATTTCTTTGCAGTATCTCATAATTTCTTGAAAATTCCCATTGTTATCTACATGATGATGAACCTTTGAAAGATACAACAAAAGCAAAATAAAATCTGATTTGAGCAAAAATAAAGCACTCTAATTTTCTTTTTGAGTGAACTTATAAGAATATCTCTCATTTATTTGTATCTGATGAGAGTTAACGTACCAATATACATCTATCTTGCTGTTCAAGCAGGATAAGAAGCATATAAATTTCTTGGGATACAAGGTGATTCTCTCCAAACCCTAGCGTGAAGCTTAAGTAACTCCTTGGCCTTTTCTTTAGTCTTGCTCCCGCAACTCACTTGAAGCACCAAACACATCTTAGCCACAACTCCCAGTTGCAGCATCTCTTGTAACAAACTTGGCGTCGCGCAAAACCTTCCAATAGAAAGCAAAACCCTAACCGCCCTTTCGCTAGTTATCTGAGATACCCTCAATATCTTCTTAGACACAACCGCAATAGCTGCACCATGATTCAAGAACTCAGCTCTTCCTTCTGCACACTGACATAACATATCAAGAACCACCATCGCCATCTCTGAACTCCTTCTCTCGGATGAGAAAGTTTCATCCATTAGAAGCTCTATGATCATGGAGACAGCTCCAGCTTCCACAGCTTTATGTCTATTCCTTCCCCATGGACATACAATCATCAAGATCTGCATTGCTGATTTCGTTGCCTTGTGAGAGATCTGGTCATGCAAGATCTGAACCACTTCATTGAAAAGCTCACGTTCCAACAATATGATCTGCATTGGATCCGCAACTTCAAGAATCTTCTTGAGAAGCAAAGTCGCATAGGCTCTTGACTCGTAGATCCCACTTTGCATAATCTTGGTCAACGTCTTCACAAGATCTGTTCCCTTCTTGTTGTTTAAAAGACTCTTGCGGGCTGTCTCCGATGCGTCGAGATGATAGAGTAAACATAAAGCTTCGTCCGTCAAGCTCCTCAGAGAATCAAACCTATTCTCCAACGTGTTTGACTGACACATATTATTGAGATTCGATGAAGCATCTACTGAGTTTCTGATGATCTTTGCCAAGAACTCGGGAACTTCTGCGGCTTCTAAGCACCGCTTGTTCGTATTATTCTCCGAGACTATTTGACGAAGTCTTTTGAGGCATTTGACTTGGTTTTGATGTGAGGATGAAGAATCTTTGATGAGTTTTTCGATCTCGGATTTAGAGATTGGAGGTTTAGGGGTTGGGATTGTCTCGATGCCGTGGGATGCGTTGAGAGTACACCAAGATTGGATCAGACGGCGGAGAGTGTGGTTTGGTGTGAGATCGGTCTCGGTTATGACTTGTTTTGTGACCGGACATGAATCTTTCTTACCTGTGAAGAGCCATTTCTCGATGCTGTCTCTGTCGTAGGTTATTCCGGTGGAGACTATCACCGGATCCTTCATGATATCTAGAGAGATGGGACATAAGAAAAAAGTAGGAATCTCTATCTCTTGATCCATAAGTAAAACTTGATGAATATATTGACTGACGAATGAAACTTTTGCTTCAAAATGCAGTAGTTGAGATTTTAAGAGATGTGTATTGGTTTAAATAAATTAGCAAGAAGGGACAAGGAGGGTTGGGGTTTAAATATGAAGGATTGAAGAAATATTCAGAATGATTACAAAAGTCAAAACACGGAATATACAATATTTGTGAACTTTTTTTTAGATAGCTGTCACTATTTATTATTTATTGTTATCATAGAGCAGCGAGGAACGTATACAGATTTGACTTTTAAATATTTTTGAGTGGTGCAACAAAAACTAAAAAAAAAAAGTCAATGCTTTGTTTTAAAGAAAAGTTGAAGAGTGTTGACTTGTCAAAAGAGATGCGATTAAGGCGACGAAAGTGTAAATAGTTACGAAGTCATTGGGAGATTGGTCGAGACGGTGTTGAGCACAAATAGTTTGGGAAAATTGACAAAATAATCCCCAACTTGCAAAAATAAGCCAAAAAAATCTCCAACTCACAAACAAGCCATTTTAATCTTCAACTTCTAGTCAAACACGAATAAATCTCATAATTTCGTTGACCAAGCCATTTTAATCTCGTCAAAATTCAACCATTTAGTTCCGTTAGTTATATTTAACGGTTGACTTTTAATGAGCCTAAAATGGCTTGGTCAACGAAAGTATGAGATTTTTTTAACTTAATTTAAAAATTGAAGATTAAAATTGCTTACCTAAAAATATCTTAACTAAAATTATCTTTTTTAACTGACAGAAAAAAATATAATTTTTCATATTAATTGTAATCACTAACTTAATAATATATGTTCAAATAAGTGTAGATATAATATTTATAAATGAATTAAAAAAATTTATATAAATCAGCTGCTGGAAATCCCTTTCACGCACTTGAGTTCCACATTTTCACTTATTTCATCCTCTATTGAGTATATGCGATTATACTTTTAACAATAATGTGTTTAGGGTTTTACCTTTAACTTTTATGTTTTTATTCTTAATTTTTTTTGAACATAAGCACTTAATTATTTTATTTTATATCTGGATTTACATTATAATTATATTTTTAACCAAAATTTTTTACTAAACAAGTTTTTGTTTTTAATTCATTTAAAAATATTATAACTAAGCTTATTTGAACATATTTTATTAAGTTTGTCGTTCTAATCGATATGATAAACTACAATTTTTGTTGAAAAAAATAAAACAAAAATAGCAATTTTTAGTTAAGATAAGTAATCAATTTTAATCTTCAACTTTTAAATTAAAATAAAAAAATCTCATACGTTCGTTGACCAAGCCATTTTAGGCTCATTAAAAGTCAACCGTTAAATATAACTAACGGAACTAAACGGTTGAATTTTGACGAGATTAAAATGGCTTGGTCAGCGAAAGTATGAGATTTATTCGTGTTTGACTAGAAGTTAAATATTAAAACAGCTTGTTTGTGAGTTGGAGATTTTTTTGGCTTATTTTCGCAAGTTGGGGATTATTTTGTCAATTTTCCCCAAATAGTTTGTCTGCTTTGTGTTTCGTTTTTACTCACATGCCATAATTGCTGATTCCTCGCATCTCTTTTTGGACCTTTTTTTTAGCAACTACTTGAACATCCCCTATTTGACTTTTTTCTTCTTTTTACTGTACGTAAAACATCGTAGGCATATTTCGAAACTATAATACAGTAAAACCTCTATAAATTAATAATGTTGGGACTTTGAAATTTTATTAATTTATAGAGATATTAATTTACCAAAAATTACCTTATTCAGTTTTTTTTCTATTTTTTCCATTTTTATTTATAAAGTCAAAATACCTGATTTTCGCAGATGTACATTATTTAAATTTTAGAAATTTGATTTTTTATATTGTTTTATTATCTTATTTACTGTATATTTTTATGTTTCATCGAATTTTTATGTAGTTTTCAATATAATTTAACTAAATATTATCAAAATATATTAATATATTTATTGTAAATATAAAACCAACAATATAATGTTAGATTGTACTTATATAAAACTATATATAGATTGATTATTAATTTATGATTTTATTGGGACTATATATTTACATGGTAGTTTTAAAAATATTATTATCTTATTATTTTATCGATTTATGTCATATTTTATACCGGCCCAAGTTGGGACCAATGAAATTTATTATTTTAGAGAGATTATTAATTTATCGAGTATTAATTTATAGAGATTCTACTGTATATTACTGGTGTAACCGAAAGGTACAGGAAGATATTGGGTTATTAACTTATTGTCAACCAAAAATACGATTATTGTTTTTTTTTTGTGATAGATTGCTTGGTGCCGACAAAATCTGAAGTGCCATTAACGATCCGTTGTTGGATTTGTACTTTTTTGAGGCTGCAACTTCTATGATACATTTAGACCCATACTCCCTTGTTATGCTCAACTTGTTTTTATTTTCTAGGCCCTTCCACAATATTTTGAATATTTGCTTTTTGGTTAATTAATTTTCATATTTATTTTCTCCTTGTTCTTGGTGTTAATGGAGATAAGATATCGCAAAATGGCAAATGTCTAATAAAGCTAATTATTAATTTGGTAAATGGTCATGAAGTATATTACTATTACAATAACATGAAACAAGGCATCGACTACCAAATTGTGAATTAAGCACTACGGAACGTATTATTATAAATATACTACGGATCTAGTAAATGAATATGACAATTATCTACGCCTTCAGCAATAACATAGAATTAAAATAGCAGACCATCTATGTGGAGAAATTAGATTTCCTCGTGGAAATATGCCATAGTAATAAAAAAAGGTATCCGTTCCACAACCGTTAGGTGATAGAAGTAATTAAGTAAAACGTCTAAACCC